GTCTATGGTGACAGTGGTTGATGATCCCGTGTCCCCGTGCCCTTCAGGGACACGGGTTCACGTGGACATGACATCTCTGCGTCCCTCAGGTGCCCAGGTCCATGGTGATGCAGCAATTGATGTCCCCATGTCCCTCCAGGTGCCCAGGTCCACGTTTACACAAGGTCCACACGTCTCCATGTCCCTCAGGCACCCAGGTCCACAGTGACATGATGGCCGATGTCCCCACATCCTCCAGGCACCGGGGTCCAGGGTCACACAGTGTCCCCATGTCCCCACATCCCTCAGGCACAAAGGTCCACAGTGACGTGATGACCAATGTCCCTGTGTCCTTCAGGCACCCAGGTCCAGAGTGAGGTGATGCTTGATGTCCCCATGTCCCCATGTCCCTCAGGTGCCCAGCTCCACAGTGACATCATGGCCATGTCCCAGCATCCCTCTGGCACCCAGCTCCACAATGAGGTGATGTTTGATGTCCCTCAGACCCCCAGCTCCACAGTGACATGACGACCGATGTCCCCATGTCCCTCAGGCCCAGCTCCAGGATGTTTGATGTCCCCAGGTCCCTCAGGTGCCCAGATCCACAATGACATAGTGGCCGATGTCCCCATGTCCTTCAGGCACTCACCTCCCTGCTACGACGCTTGATGTCCCCATGTCCCCAGGTGCCCAACTCCATGACGACGCGACGCTTGACGTCCCTCAGCCACCACAATGTGACGCTTGCCATCCCTCAAGCCCCCAAGTCCACGGTGACATGCCGGTAGATCTGGGTGGCCCCCTTGAAGCTGGAGGCCACCAGAAAGTGGCGGTGACCCAGGGAGAGGGGGGCGAAGGCACGGGGCGTGGGGGCCAACAGCTCCTGGGCGGGCTCCAGGTGCCCACCGGGGCCAAGGCGGTAGACGCGGCTGGGGGCGTAGTCGTTGCCCAGGATCACATAGCGTTGGCCGGCCAGCGCCAACGGTTGGAAGACCAACGAGCCCCGCGCCGGCACCTGCTGCACCTCCCGGAACATGGAGCCCTCCCAACGCATCACCTGGACACAGAGAACCATGGGAAGGGTTGGGTTGGGTTGGGTTGGGTTGGGTTGGGTGGTGGGCAGCTCAGGGAGGGTTGGGTCGGGTGCTGACCATCACGGGAAGGGTGGGGTTGGGTGGTGGGCATCGTGGGAAGGGTGTGGCTGGGTGGTAAGCACGATGGGAAGGGCTGCGTTAGGCCAAGAGCATCATGGGAAGGGTTGATAGGGGCATCGTAAACAAGTGATGGAGATGGCCGCCCATGGACACAGGACAGAGATGAACGCCCGTGGCTACGTGGTGGAGACGGCGCCATCCCATGGCCGTCCGCCATCTCATGGGCATCTCGTGGGCATCCGCCATCTCACGGTCGTCCCCCACCTCGTGTCACCGACCCTCCCGTGGCCATCACCCACCTCATGGACATCACCCACCTCGTGGTCATCCTCCACCTCATGGTCGCCCACCATCTCATGGTCATCCACCGCCCCCCCCGAACTCCTGGGTCGGGGGAGGGGCCCCCCCCGCCACGGACACCCGATGGTGACAGACCCCAACAGTCATGTGATGACCCCCCCATGGACTCATGACGCTGGTGGCCCCCCATGAACACACGATGGTGAATGATCCCAACGGACATGTGATGGTGACGGGGACACACACACACACACACACACACCCCCCCGGACCCACGATGCTGGTGGCCCCCCACAAACACGTGACGACGCTAGACGTGCCCCACCCAGCCCCGCCCTCACCTTGGCATCCCCCAGGAAGCGGGTCAGGCAGAGGAAGACGTGGCCCCGCAGGCGGAAGTGCTTCGCGGCGTAGACATCGGGCACGTGGGGGATGTCAGTGTGGGGGGCAAAGGCCGCCCCACTCCACCGGTAGACCAGGGGCCTCCGCGTGCCGCTGCAGACCACCAAGGCCGGCCGCCCCCCCAGC